TCCCAGAAGGCTTCCCTGGGGCTCAGGAAGAAGAAAAAAACAGAGCCTGGAGGGGGCATGCAGCACCACCCCCCATGTTCCATTTTGGGGGCCTTCTGGACCTCAGGGAAGCCTCCTGGGTTTTTTTTTTGTTTTTTGTTTTGCTCCCAGAAGGCTTCCCTGGGGCTCAGGAAGAAAAAAAATGGAGACAGGGGGGTGCTGGAGACACCAATGCTTTATTGCATCCCAGGACAGCTGATCATAGGAACCGCTGATTGTCAAGAGGGGAAAAAATACCTTAAGGAGTAACTGGGCAGGGAAGAACACAGTCAGCAATGTTGGGCATGTACGTGATGTTGTGCATGTGCAATCAGGACTGACTGGGCAGGGAGGGGAGGGGCAGGTGGAGAGGAGTGGAGACAGCCAGGGGAACAATTTGTTGGTTCTCTGAACTGCGCAGAATCATAACCCCTAGCTCTATAGAACCGGTTCAAACCAGTAGAATCTCACCCCTGCTATTGCCTCTAGTTGGCAATAGGTTTATAAGTGATGAAAGCCAGTGCATGGTCACTGAATTCTAGCAAAATGGCATCTGATGTAATATTCAGCTCTCCTACTGATTCTGTTTCAGTAGAGTCTGCTAGATGTGTTGACTCCAAATGTGTGCGTATGTGTGTGTGTACAGGGACCTTAGAGAAGCTCCTACATAACAGACAACAAAAAGAACAATAAATGAAGCAACATTGTCATTCCATACATTGCAGAAATATTGGAAAAACTCAGGAGGATCTTCAGCCAACACAACATACGTGCACACTGCAAACACAAAAATACACTAAGGCAGAAGCTTTTCCACCAGGGGTGGGATTCTACCAGTTCGGAGTGGTTCTATAGAACTGGTTGTTACGATTCTGTGCAGTTCAGAGAACTGGCAAATTGTGCCCCTGGCTGGCCCCGCCCTTCTCCGTCCGCCCCTCCCTCCCAGTCAGTCCTTATTGCACGTGCCCAACATCGATCCTCCAGCTGTCTTACTGCTTTGCCCAGGAGGCTTCCCTGAGGTCCAGGAGACAAAAAGGGGCCTGCGGGCATGTGTGTGTGCTGCGCCCCCCTGGCGGTCTGTTTTTTACCTTTCTGGCCCTCAGGGAAGCCTCCTGGGAACAAAAATGCCCCCCTGGAGGCTTCTCTGAGTCCCTGGAGGCCCAAAAACAGAGCGTGGTGGGGTGCTGCAAAAAAAAAGAAGAAGCCTACCTAGCCACTCCCACCTAGCCATGCCCACAGAACCGGTTGTTAAAAAATTTGAATCCCACCCCTGTTTTCCACCCCAAGGATAAAACACCTAGACACAAACTGAGCAACATGGTCAATGCAGTAATCCATGTGCAGATCTATACATCAGGGAAACAAAACATGGCACAACTTAGGAGAACAAACGCATCAGGACTAGATTCAGCAAACCATTTGCATTTAAAAGACAAAGGCCATTCTTTTGAAGACAGAAAAATCCACAATCTGGACAGAGAGGACTTCTGGTTTGAAAGAGGGGTCAAAGAGGCCATATATGTCAAAATTGAACAGCCCTTGCTCAACAGAAGAGGGGGATACCACATCTACTTCCAGTCTACAACATAGTTCTTTCAACGGTTCCAAGAAGCTTCCACACCCATTTACACTATTCAGGTGACCATGATGACACAGATAATCCTCCAGGTGGCCCTAACAACTCGCTAAAAGAATGCAAATTGTTGAGGTGATTCCCCATTAGGAGAATGAGCGCATACAGGGAGACGTAGTGAGAGTGGTGAAGAATAACACACAACTAGCACACAGATACACTGTATAGTAAAATGTAGGTTTTTATTTCCAGTAAAACAGTTAAGCAAAGTTCAAACAAGCAGTCCAAATCATTCACAGTTAAAGCAGTCAGTTTTCAGTCCAGGGATAATCCAATAACAAAGTCCAGTATCAAAAACAGTTCAGTAACAGACTTAAATCAAATCCAAGAATAACAGTCAATAGGGAAAAATGGAGGAATGGCAACACTCTCCAGAAACACCAGAACAGGAACTAAACAACCCAGGTTTCTGGCTCCATCTTATGGCCATTTGAGGAACCACACCCAATTACACTTTTAGCATTCCCTTAAAGAGACAGTATAAAAATGTCTATCCTGGTTTATGTATTTTCCAACCTAACTAACTGTTAGGTGACTTACATTCCTAACACAAATGACCAGCTGTCTGCAAGGAGTATAAATCCTTTCATTCCCCACCATCCAGTCAGAGCTGAAGAAGCTTCTTGGATGGGAAGTGAAATGTCTTCAAAGAAAAACCAGAAAGTCCAGTTGCCTCTTGCAAAAGTATCTTTGGGATGACAAAATATACTAATTTTGTGCAATTGTAGGCATCTTTTTTGCTTGTCAAGTCAGGTGATATAACTTTTGATTTTGTGGCATTATTAAAGATACCAAATACGATGACATAGTTTATGAAAAACTAAATGGCATTTTTCTGGGATGTCACAGAGAGACTCAAAATTTGCTGCGAGACATCTTCTGAAAAATGTCCAGAGAAAAGAATCAAAGAATAATACCTCTTAAATTTTAATTTCTTGAAGAAGTTTTTTATAAGTCTATGTTATAAATTAAATGATCAAGAGAAAAATCTTACTTGAAAAAAAGTGTTACCCCTCTTTACTTACTCTTTACAAATGTAGTTGCTTCTGTAAGTTTTTAATTAGAATAAACTGGTCTTCTATAACATTTTTTTAAAAGTCTGGTACCAGAAACTCCAGAATTGTCTCTTTCTGCACTATAAGATACAATTTAGAGGTCCTTGGTGCTCTCAGAGCTGGGTTATTTTCTTGCAAAGGTTTCATTGCCTACATTTGTCTCTTTTGTCTCTTTTGAATGATATATAGATGTTGTTTATGTCTATGTGTCTATCGATGGCCATTTTATCAGAGTTACAGGTTTCCAGGAATTCTTTTAGCATTTTTGGACTTTGTTTGGTCTAAGTTGATCACACTTTTCCCAAGTGAAAGTATGGTTAAGTCTGTGTTGTGAAATTAGGAATGTCTTCTGATGTAGTGGCTGTTGTAGTCCTTACATTCCATCGCTCCAGCCCAGCTCCACCGTGCATGCATGCGTGTCTCCCACCAGCCAGCTGGTCTTCGGGTCTCTGCCACGCATGCGTGGGAGCAGGGCCTTCCCCAAACACCACAATTTCCCCCCTAGAATGCCTTTGGGGCACTCACGCATGCATTCACGCGCATGTGCGCTTTGGACATGCGGCACCAAAAAAGTTAACCATCACTGTAAATAGTCTGTTGGTGTTTCTGAGATGTTTTTGATATATGAGTGTTATCCTTTTCACAGCTTGGGTTGGTTGTGCTCTATTTGGTTGAGTGGTCAGGTACTTTTTGATGAAGTTGCATGGAAATCTATTTTCTTGGAAGATATAGATGATCTGATTCCTTTTTCTGATAGTGAGGATGGTACAATATGTTTCTGCTCAGCTAAATAGTGTTCTTACATAGCTTTTCTTGTTGGAAGTTGAGTTGTTACTTGATGAGTTAGTAGTGGAACACTTGGTGTGGGTGGTTTTCCAATAAACTTTTATTTCTAGTTTGCCATCGCTGTCTCTACTGATGGATAATATGTTGTTTTCTTCTTCCCTTGTAAATTTTATATATTTCAAAATGTTGTTAATGGTTTTGTGTGTGTTCTCCAGTTGGTCCTTTTTTATTATGACAAAGGTGTCATCTACAGATGACTAAGGGTGTGTGAGTCCTTTACAACATACAGGGTAAGGACTGCAATAGCCACTATGTAGGACAACAGGCAGAAGATTAGCAGAACAAAAGACATTATGAAAACTCTTTAATTTCACGTCATATGACAGATATAATCATAGTTTTAAGTGGGGAACTGTGAGCATCCTTGTCCAAGCCAAAAACTAGAGAATTCCTGAAATTCTGGCACTCTAACAAATCATTCATCAATAGGCACATATAAACAACATCTATGTACCATTCAAAAAAGACAATCAACAATATCATTAGTGCTAGAAAACCTCCTCATCAGCAATCAACATCCAAAGACGAATATTAACAAATCAAAAAGTAACTGCTCAACAAGCTAATAGTAAAAAGCTTAACAAAAGAACCACCAAGATCATTCCCACCCATACCAAAAGGACAAGTCACCAGAATATAAAACGAGAATAAACGCCACTCCCTACTAGCATTGACTATGTTCTCAAATTGGGTAATGACACATCTGCAAAACAACAACCAAGATCAGAAAGCACTAAGCACTCCTCATTTCAAACCAGAGCTACAATTATTCTCTTCTATAGGTACAATTTAAAAAGATGTTATATATAGGCACAATGATCCCATAGCAGATTTTTCTATTGTTCCCATTAACATATTGTAATGTACCATTTAAAAAGCAATAAAGCATTTCTTCTCTAATTTGATTATCAGAAAATAGATAATTTGAGAATAAGATTTAAATGTGTTTTCCAAAGGAAAAAATGGATATGTGATTTTTAAAATATTTTTTAATAAAATTGTTTTTAATTACTATTTTACATTTTTAAATGCGTTTAAACTATAACATTTAAAATTAATGCTTTCCCCCCACACACTTTTAGGTGAAACTGCTGTTGACTGGCAGTGGATTATCCTTGATGGCCCAGTAGATCCACTTTGGATAGAAAACTTAAATTCTGTGCTAGATGACAGCAGAACATTATGTCTTGCTAACAGTGAAAGAATTTATCTATCATCAGCCTTCAGAGTGATATTTGAAGTAGACAGTGTATCTCAAGCCAATCCAGCCACAATTAGTAGATGTGCCATGGTTTACGTGGTAGGTTTTGTTTAAAAAAGTAATTGTATACTTTCACATAATATTCTTTATTTTTCATTTGCCAATAGCAAATAAACAAAATAATTATATTTGCAAAGAGATAGGTGGTTTAATCCCATTTAATGAATTTCAGATGTAAAATGTGTGCACTTGACTAGATAAATATATTCCATAATAAATATTTCATAATTCCATTTCATGACTATTTCATGACTATTCTAGAAATTAATGAGATCAGACCCAACCAAGATCTCAAGAATTAAGCCATTAGGGATTGCTCACTTTTTTCCACTTTCTCTTCTGCTGATTTGTTATTTGCTACAAATATATTTTCCATTTTAGTTTTTTGCAGGGAACAGAGGTTTTTGGCATTCAAATGGATGATCCTAGCAACAACTGTAAACTTTTTCTGCGTTTGTTGTTCTTATTCTTGGGAAGTAAGCAACAACTCTGCATAATAAAACTCAGGAACAGATCTGAGAATTATCAAATGACAGATTTATATGGAAGAGATTTCAAGTTGCCCCAAGAAGTTTTATTTAGTCCTTTTTCTTAAAGAATGTGACTTTCTAATGAGTCCAAATCCATTTTTCTAAACATTTCTTCATTGCACTAAATTATCTGAATTCTATCTTGTTAAAGTATAAGATTTTAACTTGTACTTCACTCTCCTATGAGTTAACATGTATACGCTAACAGTAATAATCATTGTGTATATATAATGCTAACAGAAAGTAGAATAATGAGGTAGAACAAATAGCAGCATTGACATAATTACATATTGAGGATACAGAATCATATTTTTTTAAAAAAAACTTCTACATAAAAATGATGTTGAAACCTATGATCTTATAGACCTATGATCGTATAGACCTATGATCATGGGGCAACTATGATCTTATAGACAATGATCTCTCATCTCTTGATTGGCAACTTCTATTCACTGGATGCAATACTGTAGAAGACGATTACAACATATTTTTACTTGAAGTCAAAAGAGTCATCAAACTATATGTATCAATAACAACTCCAAAACCAGAAAAAATAAATTACCCATAACAATAAGGAAGTTTCAATCCAAAAAGAAATCACTTTGATGGAAAAACAAATCTGGTCACGTTGCCAACTTCAAAAGCAAATACAAAAATGTATGCCACCGGATAAAGACTGAATGCACCAATTATCACATTAAACAAGAGGAAAACCTTCTATGCACCAATTCCACACGTGCTTTCTACAGTTTTGTAAACAACAAACTAAAAGACTCAAGGTCCATCCCACCCCTGAAAGGACCTAATGGTAAAGACTGCAATGATGACACCATTAAAGCAAACCTCTTTAACACATTCTTTGGCTCAGTATTTGTAAACAGCAATGGATCATGCCCAGTATTTCCTAGTTGAACCACAGACAACTACAATGATCTAATACATATCGATTTTACAGAAGACAATGTCGAAAAAGCACTACTCAATCTAAAACCGTCTCTATCTATTGGACTGGATGGAATATGTGCCTTCTTCTTAAAAAGGCTATCCACTGCCATAGCCGAACCTCTAAGCATAATCTTTGAAAAATCCTTCAGGACCAGCTCCTTGCCAAACCTATGGTCACTGGCCACGGTCATCCACATCTTCAAAAAGGGAGACCCCAGCCTAGTTGAAAATTACAGACCAATCTCTTTATGCTGCGTCACCTGTAAAGTCATGGAATCAATTATTAACCAATCCATTATCCTCCATTTAGAGACAAACAACCTACTCTCTAAAAAGCAATTTGGTTTCAGAATTTTTTTTCCCTGTAATCTGCAACTCCTACACTACACAACTAGATCACGGCAAAGCAACTGATGCTATTTACATAGACTTCTGTAAAGCCTTTGATTCAGTGGTACACAACAAATTACTCCTAAAACTAAAATCTTATGGTATCTCTGGACAACTGCATAACTGGATAGAGGCATTCCTGTCAAACAGACAACAAATGGTCAAAATTGGGAGCATCCTATTAAATTCTGTACCTGTCAACAGTGGTGTCCCCCAAGGCAGTGTTCTAGGACCAACTCTCTTCATACTCTACATAAATGATCTCTGTGATCATATTAAGAGCAACTGCTTTCTTTTTGCTGATGATGTAAAACTATTCAACACCACCGACAATACTATCCTTCAAAAAGACCTCGACTATGTATCAGAATAATCAATCAAATGCAACTTCACATCTCAACAAATAAATGCTCTGTCTTACATATTGGCAAAAAAAAATCAGAAAATAAAATACAAGCTGATTAGTCAAGACCTTATTGATGATCCAAACTCTGTCAAGGACCTTGGAGTATTCATCTCTAATGATCTAAGTGTTACAGCCCACTGTAACTACATAGCCAAAAAGGCATTAAGAGTTGTTAACCTAATCCTGCGTAACTTTTTCTCTGGTAATATCACACTACTAACTAGAGCATACAAAACATTTGCTAGACCTATACTTGAGTACAACTCATCAGTCTGGAACCCACATTACGTATCTGATATTAATACAATTGAGAAAGTCCAGAAATATTTCACAAGAAGAGTTCTCCACTCCTCTACTCGTTGCAGAATACCTTATGCCACCAGACTTGAAATTCTAGACCTAGAAAACCTAGAACTATGCCGCCTTCAGTCCAATCTAAGTATAGTACATAAAATTTTATATTGCAATGTCCTACCTGTCAATGAATACTTCAGCTTCAACCATAACAACACAAGAGCAAACAATAGATACAAAGTCAAGGTTAATCGCACCAAATTTGATTACAGAAAATATGACTTCAGCAACAGTGTGGTCAATGTCTGGAATACTCTACCTGACTCTGTGGTTTCTTCCCCAAACCCCAAAAACTTTAACCTTAGACTGTCTACTATTGACCTCACCCCTTTCCTAAGAGGTCTGTAGGGGGCGTGCATAAGCGCACCAATGTGCCTACCGTCCCTGTCCTATTGTTTCTTTTTATTTTTCTTATATGTATCCATTTCATGTATTCATAACTATGTTTAAACTTATACCTGTTATCTTATAATCACTTGATAAAATAAAATAATAAATAATAAATAAATAAAATACGGGGTGGGACTCACTGTCCCTCCTCAAAGACCTGAGTGAAGAGACAGATGTTTTTGGCTCTTCTGAATAACAGCCATCCAAATTGTGGAGGACACCTATTTCTAATTGGCAGATTGCTGCTAAAGAGAAGATGAAAAAGGTGCTGCCTCCCGCAGCACTCTGCCAGGCAAAACAGGCCTCAGAAATTGATATATCTTCTAATGAGCTGCTATTTAGAAAATGATTTGAAAGATGATATAGACATCTTGCTCTATTGGGGTCTAGTCAGTTTTGACACAACTGTATTTATGTCATTATGCTGCTTACCTAAAGAGATAAGAGATGGCACACTCTGACACACCATATACCAGAAGAAAACACATACCTCAACACCCAATCCCACCACCACCTAGCACAGATAAACTCCATGGCCAAAACACTACTTGCCAGAACCAAACACCTGGCAGACAAGACACACATAAAGACTAAACTATGCACCCTGACCAAAGTATTGACAGCCAACAGCTTCCACAGAAGCAAAATCACAGGCCTGATCCACAAAAACACACTGAGACATAATAGAGACCTAGAAGATGAACAGACCTATGGAACAGCTGTCCTGCCCTTCATTAGAGGTACAACAGACAAAATCAGTAAGATACTACACAGGCACCACATCAAGACTGCCTTCAAAACAGACAGAAAAATAGCAGCCATCCTAAGAAACCCCAAAGATAAAATTGACCTGGAAAACCAAGGCATATATGAAGTCCCCTGCACATCATGACCTGCCACATACATCGGACAGACCAACAGAAGAATAAGTACCCACCTGGATGAACACAAAAATGTAGTTAAAAAGCTGGAACACACTTCCTCACTAATCCAACACATGAAAGCCATAGGTCATAGCATCGACTTCAATGGCACCAAAACCCTAGCCATTATAGAAAACCCCAGCTACAAAATCATCAGAGAAGCCATAGAGGTTGAAAAATGACCTGAAAACATGAATAGAAGAGATGACTCCACCAGACTGTCAATTATCTGGAAGCCTACACTCACAAACAAAAAAATCTCCGCACCACAAGCCAAGCAAACACCTGGGCACAAACAGACCCCCCCGATACTTCCAGCCCAAACACAGCCCAGCCCACCAGCCAGATGAAACCTAGCTTCCTAATAAACGATAGCCGGCCATTCACGCAAAGCCAAGCTGCGCTAAGAGCCCCCAATACACGAAACACAATGTTGCCAGCCAATCAAGACAAAAAAATGCTACAAAACAGACAGAAGATACTAGAAACACCAACCAAACAGAACACAGCAAACTCCAAGACCAATAAATACAGACCAAGACTCCCAACCAATCAGGATGAAGAAAAAAACATTCTAACAAAGCACGAAGCTAGCACCAAATTTAAAACAGAAACAGCTGCAAAAGCCTGACACACAGATGAACCCAATACACAAGCCTGAGGATGGCAGATGAGATTCTGCCGAAACGTCACTATAATAAAAGCACAAATATTAAGACATGGGAAAATATTAAGACGTGGG